AAGATGGTGGTGGCTTTCTGACTAAGGAATTGACGACGTTGTTTACAAAAGTCTGGGGACTAGAGAGTGTACCAACGTCATGGAATGAGTCGATAGTTGTCCCTATCTTTAAAAAGGGTTCACGTCGTTCCTGTAACAACTATCGGGGGATAAGTCTACTTCCGATTGCGTCCAAACTATTGACTTCCGTCATACTTCGTAGGTTGTTCAAAACCCGAAAAAGATTGACTCGCGAGGAGCAGGCTGGGTTTCGTTCTGGTCGAGGATGTATTGATCATATCTTCACCCTCCGCCAAATGTTAGAACACCGCCATACTTTTCAAAGACCAACAATCGTAGTGTTTCTTAACATTAGGGCTGCCTTCGATTCGTTGGATAGATCTGTTCTCTGGGATTGTCTATTGAAGAAGGGTGTGCCAGAGAAGTTTATTAACATCCTAAAAGCCCTATATACAAACACCTCAGGTAGAGTGAGGGCATACAACCACCTTTCTCCATTGTTCCATTCGAGCAGTGGGGTTAGACAGGGTTTCCCAAACTCACCATTCCTGTTCAACTTTGCCATCGATAACATTCTGAAAACAGCTCTGATGGATGTAAGTAATGGCAGTGTGGATCTGTTGCCTCGAGAAAGACTTCTCGACCTTGAGTATGCGGATGATATTGTCTTACTGTGCGATAACGCCCAAGTCATGCAATCCGCACTTAGTCAGTTGGCAATCAGTGTCCGTGGGTATGGTATGTGCTTTGCACCTTCGAAGTGCGAAGTACTTCTACAAGTCTGGCAGGATTCCAATCCTGTACTCACCCTGGATGGTGAGCAGATAGAAGTAGTCGAGAAGTTCGTGTATATAGGTAGTTGCGTAAGTGCTGGTGGGGGTGTGAGTGATGAGATCAATGCACGCATAGTGAAAGCCAGAGCGGCTTATGCCAATCTGGGCCATCTTTGGCGCCTTCGTGATGTTAGTCTGGCTGTAAAAGGTCGGATCTACAACGCATCGGTCAGAGCAGTTTTGCTCTATGCTTGTGAAACCTGGCCTCTCAGAGTTGAGGATGTTAGACAACTTTCTGTGTTTGATCATCGTTGTCTCCGAAGGATTGCTGGCATTCAGTGGCAACACCATGTTAGTAATGCAGAGGTTCAACATCCTGTGTTCGGGCACAGAGACGATAATTCAGTTGATATCACTATCTTGAAACATCGACTTCGGTGGTCGTCCCAGAGAATTCCACGTCGTGCATTATTCGCCGATGCTGGGACTGGTTGGAAGAAGCGGAGAGGTGGTCAGTGCATGACATGGTGTCGTGATATGAAAGAAAGCTGCAAAGGACTGGCTTCTGTCAGTCCTTCACGACTCCCTGGTTGGGGTCCGAGAGATGGTGCCACATAGTGGCTAGAAACGTTATCAGATATGGCTCAGAATATAAGCCAGTGGCGATCCTGCTGTAACCTTCTTTTACCTTCTTCATAAAAAAAAGTTGTTGTATCTTCCTTAACTGAAAGATTTCTTCTGATTGTACCCTTCTGTTCCCCTACTATTGCTATTATTATTATTACACTACCTTACACCAATCTCTTCGTTATTGTTTTTTTTTACGTTCCTCACTTTTTTTCTTCTTAGATTCTCATTGTTTTGTAGGGCGCTATATATTCGGCGCACTCCTGTACCAATATATATGTGTTCAAATAAATAAATAAATAAATCAACTTGATGTGGAACTAAGTGTTTACATGTCGAAAGAGTCATATATTGCGAAAACATAACTGTCAAATACAGGATGATCACGGTATATATTAAATGGTACTATCTCAAGACGAAAATTAGTTAAAACAAAAATACGAAAACAAACATTGGAGACAGGGACGAAGACAGTACTTAAAGGCCTTCCAAAGCAGGCAATGAACCTCATCATGAAATTTAAAACGTGGACAAATAACAATATACAGTGAAAACCCATGGTGCTTTTACTATATACGTAGTATATTTGAACATTAATTATGATTCCACAAAGGATAATAGATAGTCAAATTGACAGGATGAAAAGCCAATATCCGACACTTGGACCGGGCCGATGGATATAGAGGATCCACCTAGAGGAGTTAGAGAAACGTGATTCCAAACAAATGGTGCATATGAGCTCAAGGATCCTACGGGAACAAATGGTGTATGAACCCATTGTTGGTGAACGGATACCATGGGACTGCATCTCAAAACATTACTCCACTATCTCGTGGATTAGACCTCTAGGTCAAAGGCTCGAGGAGTGGTCTTCTAAGAGAACCACCTGCTTCAGTCTGGGCGCCCAAGTAGTATCCCAGCCCTCACACAAATCGAATGACGAATTGTGGCAGATATATATTTGGTGCCTTCTTATACTAATGTTCATGTTTAAATAAATAATAATCAATATATACTTAATCACAGGCAACATGGAGCCTAGGACAAATTCGCCTTAGACCAAGTTGTCATTTCACATTACCATGGCGAGATGAAATAAATTAGGTGAATAGTAAAGGAGTAGAAATGATAAAGAAGAGACTAAACATTGATAACATGGCTGGAGATGAAAATATGGAAAGCTGTGTATGAAGTATAATACCAGAACTGAAGATCAAGATGATGATAAAGGGTAAATGCATCTGTGCTATTGCGACCGGTTCTAAGTCATGTCACTCAATGTCTACAACCAGTGATCATGGTTATACTGCAGACCTCAACCAGGTAGTTCATGTCTATCAACATAGTTCACTCCAACGGTGAATGTCTTCATGGAATGATGGCACCTCTTGATTTGGTCGTCCTTAGCTTTTTCCAACCTATTTCTACGTGAGCCAACACCGTTAGTTGGTGTGGGGGATAGTTGAAAATACATAACATGTGTTCCAACCATTTCAGTAAATAAAGGTTCACGACCTCACCAACTGATATATCATCTTTGCTTAGTTTTATTTATTTGAACACATAAATATTGGTACAAAGGGGCACCGAGTACATATGTGCCACACAAGTCACTTGATTTGTGGGTGGGCTGTGATACGACCCGTGTCTTTTGAGAAAGTAGCCAACAATAGACTGATATTATTTTCTGATATGGTTATTTACATGATATTCTAATTATCTTGTTAATAACAAACTTTGTATTAAGAAATCTAAATTTAGTAAATTCATGATATTCACCACAAATACTTTAAAGGAACGAATAGTGAAAAGTAATATTTGAAGGGCAATAATAAGTATAGAGAAAGGGTATTCAGAAAACAAGTACCTTCAAAATACTGTCAATCAAAACTGACATACAAGATTTTAAAAAACTTGGAAGAGAAAAGACCTGCTTAATAAGTAATTACTAAGTATTTGGAGAAATGTGAGTGGTTTTTATCTTTATCGTTTACACTTTCTTGGTCCGATTTCCGTGATGACGTTAGGAAGTTCCTCGGACATCATTTGCTTTTGTATTTCTGACTATATAGTCCAGTCAGTTTGATGGGATGTACAAGCCTGATTGGTACAGTACTAGTATAGAATTAAGTGATAGGATGAGTTGAATAATGAAACTTTATACTGACAATTGTAAGACAGTTAGACATAATTATACACTCAAAAATGTTTTCCATATCCTATTTCGGCTTTGCAGCAGTCAGACGGATCGAGACAGTTGAAATGCAAACTAGCTATGTCCCATCATCCAGTTTATGTGGACATGTATGAACTTAGTACGCTTGATTTTGAAGTTATTAAAGAAGATTAGATAAGGAAAGGTTATTTTAAGGAGTGTGCCAAAAGAATATGATGAGTAAACAAAGAATGAATAATAGAAGCTAGTGATCATTGACTGATACGAGAAAGAAAAATACTACCTCTTTCTCATACATTCCAATTTTATTATTTTTGCTTGACTTTCATTTTATCATCAAGTGTTAGAGTAACATTAATTGAATAAAATTATCATTATCCAGTTTTGGCAAACAACGCATATCACATTAATTGCTCGCCCGTTTAAGTAATAGATTGATAAAATGATCTCAAAGATCATTATCGGATTAATCAGTTTTCAAAGTATAATTTACTTTTTTTATGAATGCGATTTCGGTCAGAACCAATGAGCTACTAAAGTCAGTACAGTGTTCAAATCAGTAACGTCTCAAACTATGGCTTACATATTCTCTGACTAGTTTTTTTGTACGCATTTGTCGTGAATAGGAAAATCGGAAGAATTTATGGTGAAAAAAATATCGAGAAGACAAAACTGCTGATAGAACGACAAATATCAAATAAAAACTAACCCTTGAATAAGTAACTGAGAATCTCGAATGAAAAATTCAACCACATTGAGTATACACTCTTTGAACCCTATAGAAATCACTTTGTGTACAAACAAATGGTATATTGACCCTAGTGGACCACTGATTAAGATTATGGGAATTTATATCTAAGAACCCAGAGGATTGTTGATAAAGATGGTTAACAAACTGACTGAAGTCAAACATAGAGGCTGAAGATTTTGTTGAGGATTTGTCATGTGTTCCAGTTGATTCATTACTATTCATACTTGATTGGGAATTTAAAACAGCATAGAACGACAAATATATCAGATAAAAACTAACCCCTGAATAAGTAACTGAGAATCTCGAATGAAAAATTTAACCACATTGAGTATACACTCTTTGAACCCAATAGAAATCACTTTTGTGTTTAAGTGTCGTTACAAACTTATAAAAAAGGATTCGTCCTAAAACAAAAACTGATTCTAGCTTGCTATGATTCATCAATAAATCGTATTCATAAACAGAAGAAAATATATTTGGTATGTATATCAGAGATGATGATTAAATACATCTTGGACGATAATCGATTTGTATTATTTTTAAACAAATTAAAAGAGCTATTCTTATCCCAGACAACTTGTTTTGGTTATGACATTTTTGAATCGATCCAGGTAAAATTATTAACAACTTTATTCAAAGACAAAAAGAAGTATAAATACAAAAGGATACTTACTGTGCTAAAGGCCATCTTCTGATGTTGTTGATAGTCATTGCTATTAGGTAGAGAACACATTTTAGATCCATATTTTCCAAAAGTTAATGTGTTGGACATTGGTACTAATGAACTTGAATAAATAGAAGCATCTAAAACCTCATTTTGTGTACAAGCAAATGGTATATTGACCCTAGTGGACCACTGATTAGGATTATGGGCATTTATATCTAAGAACCCAGAGGATTGATGATAAAGATGGTTAACAAACTGACTGAAGTCAAACATAGAAGCTGAAGATTTTGTTGAGGATTTGTCATGTGTTCCAGTTGATTCATTATTATTCATACTTGATTGGGAATTTAAAACAGCATTAAATATGTTTGTCATGAACTGACTAGATAAGTGTGGAGGTAAATCATCTTGTTTTAATGCGTTACTAATATCGGGTAGCACAGCAGGAATGGACGAAAATAAAGTGTCTGAATAGATAGCATTGTGATCGGATACCTTTTTAGCCTGTATCCAATTATCAGTTGTCATCAATTTTTCTGTAGAGCCTGTAAAAGGAAGACTACAAGGAAAAGCACACGACTGTAGCAACGATCCATTTGTGCTACGTACGTTGTTGCTATATCCAAAGCTTTCAGGACATGAGTATGATAATTCTGGATAATTGGAGTTTAATATATCTGTTTTAGATGTCAAAAACTGACCATCCGAAGACTGGTCGTGACCTTGTACAGCCTCTTCAAAACCCGGCGGAGGATAAAGATTAGAGAAAGTATTTGGACTCACGTTAAATGACTTGTTTGGATCAACATGGTTGCTTCTGTTATGTGATACTATATTAGAGTACCAGGAACGCAGTTTTTCAGCTTGTGCAGAATTGAGACTAAAATTAGCTTGAGGAAGCCTAGTGTCTAAACTTGAGGATTGTGGTTCACTTGGACAGTGAGAAATGCCAACTGAAGATCCATTGGTTAAGCAAACACGATGACTGAACAGAGGTTCAGATACATTAAGACGTGAAACTTCAGCAGCTAAAAGTTCAGCTAAACCTTGCTGAGATTCTCGAAAGGGGTCAAAATCAATATCTGCGGGTTCATCTCCTAACAGAGGTTGGGTATTTGAAGAATTCTCTGGATTTGGACGACACCATGTACGGTGACAGCCATTACTGCTGGTACAAATAGGCTCAGTACGTGTAGATACTTGATTAGATGGGATAGAGCGAGGCAACAAAATCCGATTCTGGGTGGAATTATGGTGCCGGACATGGTTACCTTTAGTTCCTTCTACGTATGATTTATCTGTATTTGTATTTTCAGACGAATTCTTGAAATGAAAAGTACCAAATGAGTTTTTCCCGAGCTTTCTAGTTGGATAGTCTGATGATGAAATTGATGACGAATGATTCCAACTACTCGGTTTGTTAGAATTATTATAATTTAGTTTAGATTTATCAGCCAATGAGGTATCGGAAACTGAGACAGCATTTGAATTATCTTTATTAGTATGCCTTAATTTACGAATCTCCTTAAGTGATGCACTTGTTTGATCAGACTGTGTAGTGCATCGATCTGAAACTTGCACGCCCGAGTTTTCTACAGACAGCATGGATGTGTCTTCAAATCTGAAGCGATTACGTCCATTTGAGTAGCTGCTTGATTCACTGGTATGAGGTACTGAAGCATCATTGGGACTTGAGACAGAAGAATCTAGTGAACCTAAGATAGTTGTTTCTTCCTTTTGTGAATCAAGTGAATATGATTTAGACTGACAGAAATCTTGCAACAACTTGTTCATGTATTCAGTATGTTTTCCAGCTTGCATTTCTTCTTTAGTAAAACTAGCAGCTGAATCACCGAGTTCATGCAAGTACATGCATTCCTTGAAACAAAAATAATTGTTTGTGAAAAATCAAAATGGCAAGTAAGTTAAAAGACATAACCTTGACGAAGTAGTCATGATTTAAGTACTGTGATAAATGACAAAGCCAGCTATATATTCAATACTTATGAAGCGTAATCATAATCAAAAACGTTGTTGGGATGTGAGTAGAATAACTTTAACGTAAACTACCTCGATGAAACCTGTCTTACCTAGTAAGCATAACAATAGGTTTGTGAACCAATAAACCGTATAAAATAAACTACTTTAAACCTCTATGTATTGAAAACCCTCAGAAAAAAGAAATGAAAAGGTTAGACATTTCAACAAACTAAAAATGGTAGGTCGTCTCGAGATATTTATTTTTTGATACTTCTAAACATTTAAAAAAATATGAAGGACTAATTCGTCACAATAGATGATATAAATATATATATTCGGATGTTAGATAAGTTGATTTTTATCATATCCTCAGTGTATAGTCTTCCTCACTAACAAAGCTACCATAATTATTTCGACTTTTTATTTGCCATCATGTTAATTTCATCTTATTGCACTGATTTATTTTGAGAACTTGGGTTAATGCACATTCACCCCAAGGTCTATAAATGATTAAAAGACTGAGCAGTTAATTTGTTATTAATCACATAAGCAGCAATCGAATGAACACGCAGGTGAAACGACTTTAACTTATTTCACACAAGGGAAGTGAAAAGGGATACCAGCTTTTGGTATCAGTCAGTCAGCTACAACGTAGGACCATGCACATATGTGCATCGGTATGATAACAACTGTTATTTGTCCTTTTAGGAAGATCGAGTAGTAAAAACAGGCTGAAAATTAGCCGTAATTCATGAAAACCCTGAATGGAGATTTCAAGAACTTAAGTAAATAGTAAATCACATTTCTGAAGTTATATATAACAGTAATATTTAACACGTTTTATAAAATAATTAGTTGGTCTAACCGCACAAAAGAATCGGATCAGGATCTAACGGAAACACTTAAATCATTCACGGAACGCACATAACAAAATGAATGCCTAATAATCAATAAAGTCATTTGTTATTAACCAGTCTGATTGATGTTTTGATGATGGTATCAGTGGTCAATGGAATTTCCACTACTAAATAGAATTTGTATATTGTTACATGGTTTAGTAAACATGCAGTCTAACGAGTGTGACACAAAAATGGACAGCTTGACTAAATGTAGGGGTATTTTCGCTTAGCTTCTAAATGGCTGATGACTCAGCTGAACAACTTATTTTTATATTTAAAAATCTCGATTAAATACAAAAAGTGGCAATCCAACCAAAAAGTCTGTGACTAAGAACAGAGAGTTGTTTGTTCATCTGTTGGATCAAACCGTTTACTTTTAGAAATGGCTTGCTTACTTTCTTAGAGAGCTAACTTAACTATACTTGCATGTGACAGAATACTTTAGCACTATTCAGAATATTATAAAAACTAAAGACAGAACAAGATGATCACGGTAATCTTTAGTGTTCAACAAAAAGCTGTATATTCTTCTTAGAAAATTACAAAGATATGAAGTGTAGGGAAAATACTGATACAATATCAAATGAAATTGCTGGGTACACAAAATCCCAGTCTATGAGAAAACCACAAAATTTAAAGTGTAGAAAGTCACTTCAAGTTAACGAAATGGATTATCAAACTACCTAAACCTCCACATTCTACCCACTGATGTACGAAATATTTTCAATAACTTGAAAACATGTAGCAGTAACTACAAAATCCTTGTTAACTTGTTTCGTGAGTGGCTTTTTCAGTCAATGTATCATCAAACAAATTTGTATTGAGTCAAGTTGCTAAATCTGAGTGGCTTTATGGTGGTATTAGAGTGGTCGGACTTAACAAGTAGTATTGTACAGACTTATCGAAAGACCGAAGTTTCGTTTGGAAACTTCGTTAAAAAATGAAGTATTCTCTATATAATCGTTTGAAATGGTGCAACACATACAGTTATACACATATTGTAATAAAGTTGCCAATCTTACGTAAAGTACAGGATGTTTGTAGTAAAAATAAACTTTATAAGGAGTTTACTGAACCTTGAAGAATTTCCTACCTTGAGTCAAGTGGCGTAGATACAATTACGTTATATCCCGACGAAACAACTACCTTCTGTTCAGAATCAAGTACTTTGTCGGGCACTCAGTAAAATAACATCACATAAACAAAAATAACCTAACACAGGATGTCAACGAAACCAGGAATAAAGTTTACGGTACTAGCTTATCATCTATTTTAAAGCATTTTGATGAAACGTACGTTTTGGTGATTATTTCCCAAGCACTTAAAACTGTGTCAAAACAAGAAAAAACTGGGCAGACATTTTTTAAAATATGTAAAGAAAAATAGCGGACGATGAACTAAGCAAATGACACAATCTACTGATTTTACAAGAGTCAGTACGGTAGTTTCTAACCATTTGCATTTCGAAGACGACTTGTTGGGTCTATAATTTTTTTAAGCATATGAGAGAAGGCTGACAAAACTAATTCTCTGTATCCAATCTGATTAGTAACGAACTGCAATTGAGAGAGTGAATGACAGTTACACGGAACTATTCACAAAACCATGCTTTAAACGAGTATGAATGATTTTTAATTACAGTAATAGATTGCAATCATGAAACTCACATGTTTGGTGCATTTCGTGCCCCTTAAAAACTGACTACAGTACTTTGTAGTTCCAAGTGATACACGGATTGGTCTTCCATGTAAAGTGCTCTGATTAAGATCCCTTATAGACCGCATGGCATCCTCAGCCCGATAATATGTTATATAAGCACTAAAACTAGGTTGACCCTGAAAAGTTCGAGAGAGAGAAAGGCGATATAAGCAATTTGCAAAATACTCTTAGGACACAAGTTTTAACACAGTCACCATCATTCATTAAACATACCTGTGGTCCACCGAAAGTTTGGTTTTGATTAACTTCCACTTTAAAAATTTTCCCATAACGACCGAAATAATTCTGACCTTTAAGTATTTCCTTATCCTTTGAGATCCATGTAGGTAAACCGACCACAAATATCAGATTTGGCTGAACAACTCTAGCCAACAATATCATTCTTTGATAAAAAATTACCTTAACTCTGGGAGGATTTTGAGCATTTCTGGATTAAGCTTTGTCTTCTTTATATAATCCTTGCGTCTTCTACTAGACCTACAACGAGATTCCCTAGGAAACGAGTAGATTCCAAATTCATCACTTACTCAGTCTCCGAAATAGGTTTGTAAGATGCCGGTTTTTCTGAATTATATTCCTAAACAATCCTATACAAGCTGCTAAGCCTTACCTTTCGACAAGCTGGACAAAGCCCATTTTCCTCGTTAATTATCTTAGCCCAGCAAAACCGGCATACCTAGTCTTTATGACGGGATAACTCATTTATTTACCTGGTACCGGCAATCACACGGGTAAAATGAGATGTCATCTGCCTCCATCGGTTCCATACATAAGGGGCACTTAAGAAAGGTCAGTTAAACTAAACAAGTACCATCTCCTTCTCCTCCGTGCACATTGGGATTAAATTATAATCCCTACTCTGAAGATTAAAAATAGTGCCTTCAGAACTTTTCGTAAGAAGCGCTCCCTTTTAGAAGAATTTGATATGTAACCAATATCCAATCTAAATATTCTGATGAATAAGTGATGTGGGTACGATAACTTCCAGATTTAAATTAGTATCTACGGAAATTCTAAATGACTTTGTAGATGAATTTCACCATGAGGTATTTTTGTCTCACAAGATTCATGAACTATATGGCTTTATGGTGTAGCGGTAAATAAATCCCCAAAATAAATAGCTCTGTAAGTTTTCGACATTAAATGCTGACTACATGTTTTAATGGACTCACCTAGCTGAAGGCGCTCGGTCATGCATCCGCACCAGATCACTAGTGGGAACGCCATGCTCAACAACTCCTGCAATCGCTAGCCAGATTAGATCAGAGGATCCTCGATAAATTGATAGCTTATCAAATATATCTTCAAACCTCCTCACTTCTGTCTTTTGATTTCACTTGGTGGGTACGCTTCACACGGAAGGTGTTTCTGGTTAAAGCGTTGTCAAACTCCGAATACCTGTGGCATATTCCATGGAAAGTCTGTAAGACCAGAGCAATGTCACTGAGTCCTAGCCAAACCACTCATCAGCCAGATCATTGAATGCCCAACACTTTTTCTGTCTTCATCAAGGTCAATGAGGACAAATAGGCACCAATTAACGGCTTCCTATATACAGGCGGATGAAGTAGTTTTTCTCTCCTTTACTTCTGCTAACAGTTAATACTAATATGTGATGTCGCCTACTGAAATTTTTTGTTCCAATCAATCGCCTGGTTATCGTAACAGGATAATCAGGCTAAGCATTACCTGGGGGTGGCTATGACACTAGCTAAGAGGTCGTACCATTCCCGTCCAACTCGAGTAGACTGACATATTACATGTGCTGATGATTTACAAGTCAATTTTGCATAATAAACCTTCAGTGTGTAATCACGAACATAGTCCCAAGAAACACGACGTTTGGTAAAACGGGTTTTATAGGTCGATAAAATACTGCTATGCTACTGACATATCCTGTGGACTCAAGTGATCACTTGCTACCACGTAACTGAACAAAAACGATTACGGCTAACAATAGTGTAGAAAACAAAAGTTTAGCGGAAGACCAACTTGAGCATCAGTCGTAAACTAACAACCACTCCCACCACCAATCTTAAGAACTAAGACATAATATTACTTGTGGTCCATTTATCTGGTCATCAGATCAACTTAAATACACCATACTGGCTATAGTTGACATTAAAGGATCAGTAACTTGTGTATTCACTTTACTGTACCAATATACTAACTGAATCAACGGACTACTAACGAGTTACTCTTTTTTCTGAAAATAGGAAAATGTTTGGTTCAAGTTAACGTTTGCAATCCTAAGCTATCTTGCTATTTTGTCATCTAATTGTTGAATATTGGGCAAATCTTTGTAACGGTTGGACACACTTATCCGTGTAGAGAGTTGCATCACATCTCTTTTAATGAGGGAGTGCAGTATGTCGTATGTAGTAAGCAGTTCTGAAATGAGTATACCCTTTTAAAACGTGATTCAAACTCTGAAACCTCGAAACATAGTGATCATTGGGGATGCTTGTTTTTCAATCAGAGCAAGAATTCGTTCATCCAAAATATTCTTGGTCTTTTGTCACTTGTGGATAGGTTGACGTTAATAATGACATCGTGATCTAACCACGAAACAAATGAAATTTGAAAGTGTATAAATCTTCATCAAAACACATGAAGTTCATGAAGTGTGACATTTTACATGGTAGAGGGCCTGTGAATTATGATCTAGGTCGGTATTAAGAGCTTTTATCTTTGCTAATAAAGTGATAAACCCAGTCCTAAAATTTTAAATTTGCCATGACGCGATTACCTAATCTATAAGATCTTACGTGTTAGTTCTATCATTATATATACAAACTCATACTGTCATGACAGTCAGCAATGTGATGTTTACCACTTCTGAAGAACACAGTTGTACTGACGACAGAATAATATATTTAATAAGAAGTAGCTTACATAGTGTGACCATAATTGCATGGCCGATCCATGTTATACCAGTTAGTTATTTTCGTGTTCACCATTTCTGATCTTTAATTGTTAAATTTTGGATGTGGATCTCCTTAGTTATCGTGTGTTCGGCTTCAAGGATCGTAAGGTTCAGAATCAATAGAGCTACAGACTATCTGTATGAGAATGCGAAGCCTGGGTTCTTTTATCTGAAGACACGAATATGGCGGTAATTGATTCAACATTTCGAGATACCAAGGTGCCAAGTGAAGGGAAGTGGAGTTTCATAGAGGTACAAAAATGAGGGACTCTACTTCCAGAAACTTTTTGAGGTTCCAATTCCAAAATCACAAGATTCCTCAACAAAATACCACGGAAAGACTACAAATCAACTTAATAAAGGTGAAATAAATTAAAGTGCCTTCACTGTTATTACAAAATCTACAGGTAGTCTACAACGAACAAATGAATCGCAACACCATGATTTTCAGGCTGCACTGAAATAAAATCAAAAGAGGCAAATCGCAACGTAAACGGTACGTATTTTCTTCAATAACCAAAGTGAACTAGATGCGAAGCCGAAGTCGTTGCAATAAATAACTCCAGGGAATTAAGGCCCAAAAAGATTTATAAATGTCTGAAGCACTTCTGGCCTTCTCTCCTTTCACTAATGAGCAATAGTCCACTCCAATCAATGTTAAATAATTGACATTGCATGAATTAACAATAGCTGCTGAAGGAACAAGTTCGGATATAACCGAGCGTTCAATGTCATTGCGATTAGTGACAAGGGTGGAACGCTGACAATTATTAAAGAAAATTTTAAGAAGTTGGCTGAGGTTCATTTTAAAAACTATTAGGTATAAGCATACGAATAGATGAAAACATTTACTTTTGACCGTGAAAATTCGTTAAAATAATCCTACGGTTTGAGGGATTGAATGGATTCCTGGTGGTTGGGCCTTAGAAGCTATCCTCGCCAGGCATGCATGGGTAAGTGATACACTTCGAAATTTTTGAACACCAATTTTCATCATCTATGGGATAAAATTCATGGAATAGGGGAGCTGAAAGTCCTAGTGAAACCAACTGATATAACTCTGGAATATAGGTTGTCACTACTAGGTCCTGGTAATAAAGGGATTTCAGTTCTCTTGCTATAGGTGCATAAAAAGTAGGCTAATAACTGTTATGATGAATCACGCCGTATGACGGCGCATATCCAAATCTACGCATTTTGGGTCAAGCCAAGAATCTTATTTGTTTTACTTTGTAATCACGCAAGAAAACTAGGACATAACCCCACTCTAGCTAGTAGTGATCACAATGTTTTTCTGTTCCAATTCAGAACTCGTGGCATAGCCTATGGTCAGCCTTGTTTAAATATGTGGTGATCAAACACATTGGATTTACATGAGTTTGTTACAGAAGCGAACTAGTCAATTGGTATTAGTATGTTTTAGATCTAAATGTATCATTGCTTCCATTTCATCTTCTTGTATACCATGACAAAACGACATAAACCCTATATTTCTCCACCAAGGATAACAAAAATGGATCAATCAACTTCAACATACGAAAAGACTTTAACACATGTTTATCTCTACAGGTTCTGTACTACTCAAATCAACCTAGTATGAGACTATAAACATGTAGAAATAGTTAGCAAATTCAGCTAGATTATTTTAAAGAAGGCAGTTAAACTGGGATTCTCGCTGCGGTTTAGAAACACTGTTCTCTAATATCAAGACGCAAACACGGAGATAACGGAATTTAGTCCCTTATTTTTACCTTCTATTCAAAAAGATTTGGGAGGAGTAACAAGTGCCGATGGACTGGAAACAAGGACACCTCATCAAGATTTCAAAGAAAGATCTGAGCAAATATGAGAACTACAGAGGCATCACAATACTCTCAGTACCACGGAAAGTCTAATAGAGTAATGCTGAACCGGATGAAAAACGCAGTAGACACCCAACTTCGAGATCAGCAGTCTGGATTCCGTAAGGATAGGTCGTGCACAGACCAAATTGTGACATTACGGATCATCGTCGGACAATCAGTTGAGTGGAACCCGTCACCATACATCAACTTCATTGATTATGAGAAGACGTTTGACAGTGTAGATAGGAAAACATTATGGAAACTTCTTCGACACTATGGAGTTCCTGAGAAGATTGTCAACATTATCCGGAACTCATACGACGGACTACAGTGCAAAGTAGTGCATGGAGGACAGCTGACAGACGCATTCCAAGTAAGGACTGGAGTCAGACAAGGCTGTCAACTCTTCCATTTCCTCTTTCTTCTGATGGTCGACTGGATTATTAAGACTTGGATATCTGAGGGAAAACACGGCATACAATGGATAGCTCAAAACCAATTAGACGATTTGGACTACACAGATGACCTATCCCTCCTATCCCATACACACGAACAAGTGCAGATAAAGACAGTCAGTGTAGCAGCAGTCTCTGCATCAGTAAACCACAACATACACAAGGGGAAAACCAAGGTCCTCAAATACAATACAATACACCAATCCAATCACACTTGATGGTGAAACTCTGGAATTTGTAGAATCCTCCGCATACCTAGGAAGCATCATCGATGAATAAGGAGGTTCAGATGCAGACGTAAAGGCGACGATTGGCAAGGATTTATAAGAAAAGGAAAAGACTTAATCAGGCTTCCAAATAACCACACAAAAATAAGATCGATGGCGGAGAGTAGATATCATGCAATGAACAGCCAGATTCATCGAAAACAAACAACTTACGTATTTTATGATAATCATCTCTCAGTTGTCTCCAAAGAGCTCGATCTAAAACCAGAGAGCATGAAGACCAACTCAAAATATATTTAGATGGGCAAAGTCGAAAGCAGCTCCTTAGTTCGACTAAAATCAGCTCTTAAAAAAATTCCACATCGGAGGTCAAAAACCTATGTAGGTTCCAACGATTTCTCGTTAAGAGTTACTCTCATCTGGAATGGCCTCCAAACCGAAGTGATCACAGACTCATCAGTGTATAGATTTCAGAGGAGACTTGGTAACTCATACTCACTCATGGACAAACCGTGCCTCATGCATCTCGCGTTTTATTTGTTATAAGCGCTACTAATTTCTATCAGTTTATTCCGATCTCATCTCTCTACCCCCCTTTAGTATTTGAGCCTTCGAAAATTTTTTCTCTAATACTTTATGACCGACCATCCTCCTCAATGACACTGTCATGTCTACTGGTTACAGAAACCCTATTGCTCTGAGACAAACCCATCCACTCATATTACAGAATATACAAGACCACAAATAATGTAAGTTACTGGAAACAGTACAGTTGGGTGGTTGGACCCTAAGGTATTTTACGTTGCCAAAGAACTGGAATAGTGACCAAACATCATGGCGCAAAATCAATTTACAAAAGCTTTAAGAACAGGAAGTACTACCTTAACATGATTCACATTTCTCAAAATTTTTATGTCCTTAAGTAACAAAAGTACCAACTTTGATCAAAAATTCTATCCTGAGTTCAACGTTCTCTCGATTATTTTGTTTTTGAGTTCCCTCCGAATTAATAGTTAACCGTTGTTTTACGATTTGGATTTTACAGCTTCTCACGTAAAGTGGCTAGTTTGGATACAATTCGTGTTTCTTCAATCCATTTTCTATCCGGTTCATCCAATTTGTATCACAGTTATAAACGTTTATCCCCATTTTTTCATAATTTCTACCTCACAATGTTCACCACGAACAAGTGTAAACGAACCGGTTCCCGTTTCCAATCACCCCTGTTATGCAGTGTGAGATATGTGAAGGGTGGTTTCACGAAGTATACTCAGACCTTACAGGAACTACTTGCACAACTCCCTAATTCAAGTCGCGAGTGAAAACATGGCATATGGAATATGAATCCTGATAATAAAGTGAGCAATATCATCATTCTCCTGATAAGTCTACGAAACGTATGTCGGAAAACCCGAAAACAGTCAGTCCCTAGACGGATAAACAAACAATGACAAATAGGGAGGTAAAGAGGAGGGTTTTTGACGACGTCACTATTGACGGACCTATTGCCAAAACAAGTAAAGATTTTCTTTAGCTCAGTAATGTCTTAAGGTCAGCGGTGTTAGACTCTCAGTAGATTTGTATCCTTCGACACACTCATCTAATACGACTGCGTTCCCGAAACTTCCAACCGTAGGCTATTGGTTACACGTCAATAGAGCTAAAACAAATCGAAAATGATTGTCGACAATCCTCCGTAGCCCATGTCTTGTAAGAAAATCAGTTAACTCACCAGCCGTGCAACCTACTCTAAAGCTTGTCCAAACAGTTCGACAAAACTACGGGAATACGGATCATATTCTGACTGCTAAGCAAAAATGACCCAAACTCGTCGTACTCAAAAACATGGGAAATCGGTCGTTAGTGACTGCTTTGGCTCTCCTCTAAGTCTGGAGTACAAAAACTACAGGACACTCAGAGATGAGTTAAACAAAAGTCTCACCTTTCCGAAGTTGAGCCACCAACGGTCCCACGGCTTACTCAGGAGGAAAGACGCCAAGTACTTAATTCACCCATCACCCATCGTGTAACTTTCACCAATACTGCTGACATGGAGGATATTCTGCTCTCTATTCACTTGGTGAAATCAGAAGGGTATGTGCTGCCTGATGTACCATATTTTGAGCGCAATCTCATCAGGAACTTCCCAGAAGACTCTGGCGAGCTGTTTCTTCGCGGAATAAAATATTGTGCAGGGCATCCCAGAAAACACAGACCCTGGTATTCCAGACTGTGTTATTGTAGAGTAAAAGTTCATAAATCGGTCCATGAAGCTCAAGAATATATTAACCCAGCAAGTGGAGCGATTACCCAAGAAAAACGGAGACATTAGACCTTGGCCAGATAACCTTTCTCTTTTTTCAAACGGCGGCTAACATTCTTGGTGAATTTCATGTCACCAGGATAAAGATACTGACTGGAGCGCACATTTATCCAGTCAGACCACATAATGCTAGAGTCGAGTATAATACCAAGTCGGAAACGACTATTCCACATGTGAACTATCAAGAACAAGAGGAAATGAGTAGGTGACAGGGACCAACCACTCGGAAAATCCAGTGTAGGTGGGTTACCTGTTCAGTGACATACGGCTCATCCAGACAAACAGGACGAGGGCACTCATGTATTCCTCATAGAAAGGGTCAACTGCCTATGTATGAATTATGACAGTTTGCAGAGCAAAATGGATGAGTTGAGAGGACAAGGCAACGTTAATAATACACAGTTGATAAGAGTATATGAAACGTGGACGTCTGCTTAGGTTACGGATCACGAAATGGCAATATATGACATGTCTTTGTTCCTCGATTACAGAATAACTTTGACGAAATGCAGGCATTTTTTTGCCCGCGGTCCCGTTTGGTAGCACATTAAGTTTACGCGTGGGAAGTTATCAATCTTGTTGGATCTGTATTGTACCCAGTGAGACTATCTAACACCTCAAGACATGTAGTTGTAGTTCTCAGTAGAAAGTTCACTGCTGACATGAAGTACGACAGTCGGATGCTGAGGAGATTATCCAACTCTTTTCTTCTCAGATATAGTCGTTTCCGGGTTTTAAGAAACTCCAATTTTCATAAAGTCAACTTCTCTGGATACACTTACAATGAAGATAATAAATTTGCTGACGCCAGATTCTTCAACAACACTGAAGATTCTGAATTAATTGGAAACACGAAAATGAAAACTCGGTGGAGAATCAGTCAGACTCCGTTGCACCTAGAATACATCTTCACAAACTGAGTGTTGCTAATAGGTTACGCCTCAATCAATACCACCCTGGGGAAATGCTATCACTCCACCATAGTCTTCAGCTTAATTTGCAAAACTGAGCCAAAATATCCCGTTAACAGTAGGTTTTGGACTTTTAAACGGTTGAATGTGTCCGCTATAGGAGATAAACTACAGTGTATGGAGTGGGAAGACTATCCTCAAATTGATGTGGACGCTCACTGGGATATGTTACTTCACATGAATCCTAAAGGCTGTAAACCAATCTGTTCAGTAAATTGTCCGCAAAAGTTACAGCAAACCCACAGTCACGGGGAGTCGCATACTTCAAACGTTTCAACTTAAAAAGTACTAGAGTGTGGAATAAAGACAAACTAGTTATGACAACACATATCGTTAGTTAAAGGAACCCATGAACCCATACACCAAGGCTCAACAAAGGATAGAATTCAGTATCAGATTAAGCTAGTCGATGACTTTGTCTCCAATTGTAAAGCTTAATCCATCATTCAGCCCCTTTTCGACAAGCCCAAGCCAGAGATTCAATTTGTTAGGTCCTAATTGCCTAAACAAAAACGACGGTGGTGCTGCCGATGCACTGGTAGAGCAGTATTTTCAAACATTTTAACTGTCACATACAAACTAAATTGACGAGAGCTTCACTTGCAATACAACAGGACTTCCAGAGGTGAGCATGCGAAATAACTTTGTGTATCAGAAATTGCAGTATATGAACAAGGTCATTTCTCGTGGCTCGAATGTGGTTCACTGTGCCATACAGAGAAGCGAATTAAATCTTGGCAATATCGCTTAATGTTTTCAAATTCTCTAAACCAAATTATGCTCCCAGACAATTTTCAATGAGGTTGACGTAATGAACCTTCCAGTCACATGCTGGTAATACATTTTGTAATGCAGTCGTATGTTGTGGAAACTTCAGTGGATGGTAATATGTGCGATTAATTGCTATCTATAAACTTCTTTTGATCCCGAAATACTTTCTGAGAGGACAGCACCTGCATAGCCACCAGACTGACTGCAGTCGGTAGATGTACATTTATTCCTGATCTCAAGAGATAGGAGAATGTCATATACCTTGGTCTCTTTAAAGCTTTTGATAATGTTAACTATAAGTGCTTCATTAGGTATCAGGTCATAATAATAAACCGATTAACTTCACACATGAGCAATCAACATTTTAAAATAAGGGTTGACTTCACATTTTTCAGGTTATAGAATATATTTGTCGGGTCCCCTGTGGCTAAGAACCAAAGTCTATTCTCTTTCTAATTTATATAAACGACTTCCCTCACCAAGTGTCATCTGATTAACTACTTTTCGCTGATGATGTTAAACTTTGTGGTAGAATTTTATGACCAAGATGATATGTTGACATTCCAGGATGATCTGACTCGACTTGAAAGTTGGGTGGATAACATCGGACTTACCTTCAACACTTCAAGCAGTCCATCTGAGTCATGCTTTAGACTAAGCGCACAACTTACGTAATTCCCCTTTAGAATTGTACCAAGTTGAACTGGATCAAGAATTCTTGATATCCTGCGATCAGGTCTGTAACAACTACAGTATAGGTGTCTGAGAGGTGGGCTTTTAATAACCAAGAGCACCCTGAGCACTTTTGGGCAGTTCCTTAAACAGCTACTAAAGCTAAGTGCCAACAGATACATTTGGAGCAATACCTAGAAATTAGTAGTACGAAATAGCAGAATGGTCCATAATCGCACCTTCTACTCATTACGATAAGTTGAATTTTAAAATTCTTTGTCTCATGAAGTGGTTTAAGCGACATCTCATGAGTCTTTCAACAGGAAACTTGATATATAATCAAGGACTCAGGAAGTTATTTGTTAAAAATATACTGATATTTGCTTGAAGATATCGGTATTCCACTTCTAAATGATACAGAAGGCGGTTAGACGGAGGATTTTTCTTTTCACTTAACAATTAATTGAATCATTTGAACCATTTGAGCTCGTAAATATTGGACATTGTATCACGAACCCAAATACGCGGTCTGATTCACCAAGCCTCGGTTGGACTAAGCATGTTTCAGGTTACGCGTAGGTCTTTAAGTCTCAGTCGCGAGTTAACCTTGTGGAATGCATTTCGACAATTTTCGTCCACACCTGTTGCTTCTGCTGTAAGACGAGATTTATGATAATTCCCTTTACATTCAGAGTTTGAAAGATATAATGGCTGACCTAATACCTAAAGAACAAGCAAAAGTAGCATCTTTTAGAAAGGAATACGGTTCCACAAAAGTCGGTGACGTTACTGTCGATATGGTTGGTTTTGACCTTTTCTAAATTGTACATGTATAGATGTATGGCGGTATGCGGGGCATCAAAGGTTTAGTCACCGAAACATCTGTACTGGATGTTAATGAAGGGATTCGATTTCGTGGTCTTTCAATTCCAGACTGTCAGAAACAGCTTCCAAAAGCTCCTGGTGGACATGAGCCGCTTCCAGAAGGCATCTTCTTTCTCCTACTGACAGGAAAAGTTCCAACCAAAGCACAAGTGGATGATATTTCAAAAGAATTCGCAAACCGAGCTGACCTCCCATCTCATGTTCTAAACATGCTAGATAATTTTCCATCATCTCTTCATCCTATGAGTCAACTGGTAGCAGCTTGTGCCGCTCTAAATTCAGAATCAAAGTTTGCACGAGCCTATTCACAAGGTATCAAGAAAAGTTTGTATTGGGAGGTGAGCATTTTTTTAATGACTTATGCATTCCCTGTAATTTTCAAAGTTTTTGATTTAAAGTAGACGAATGGAGATAGCTTCCTGTCATAATCTGATGTACATTCAGAGTAATTAACATGGGCTACTCATAACTTACAAAATTGTCATGCATTATTTAAGAAAAGGTAGGGGTTCTTTCTAAGGTTCTGGAGATCTTGCACTTACTTCATGCATGTTTTTTCGAGTTACCGATTATCCCATAGTTCTGTGTTAAGAAGAGTTTTGTATTTGGCAATCCGAGCTGTTACACTTGTCAGGTCTTACGTTAATTGACTGACTGCTTATAGGTAATGTGTTTTTATGAATGTGACTAAGTATATGTTCACATACCAAGCTCTAAACCATGATGCAAAAATGACGTAGTTGTTAAATGTTGGGTGATTTAACTAGAATATCGCATTTTTGAATTTCCTGAGGTTGATGCGCAATCGACCGGAATTTCTAGCCTGTTATAATGATGAGTTTATGTTGTATTGTAAGCCAGGAGAATTTTATTATGACTGATCAGTTCCATATCATGACCTTTCTTTGTTGCCCCTCATTTGTGATAACCCACATTCTCGTGCTTCCTACTTGTGACCTGCTACGAAGGTGTTCCAGAGTTCAGATGATCATTCCTCATCGTTTATTGGGTCTGTTTCAATAAATGGTACTCGTGACTTCACATGTCAATATAAAAATGTGCAGTCATATAAAACATCTAGATGTAGCATTGTTTAGTGCGACGACTGCTCATTACATCATATAATGATATAGCTATCTACTACTAATTACTCATATTGTTTGTTGGTTGTTTTAATAGTACGTTTACGAAGATTCTATGGATTTGATTGCCAAGCTTCCAACTGTGGCTTCTATAATTTACCGTAATTTGTACCGGGATGGTACTTCTGTAACTGCTATCGACTCTAATACGGACTGGTCCCATAACTTTTGTCGTATGCTTGGTTATGAGGACCCTGGATTTACCGAAATGATGCGTCTTTACCTAACCTTCCACTGTGATCATGAGGTAAGCCACGTTTCGGGTGTTTTTTGATTGATTTTCTATTACTTAGCGTTTCTGATGACCGATGCTGTTAACAGGTCATGGGCTTAGTTGATGTAACCCGTTTTCCAACTACCGAACTGTACACTTAAAGCTGTCAGATGTGATTATAGAAATTTCATAATGTTTTACTATGGACTAGCTCATGTCTCACATAAAACTCTCATCCATAGTTTGAAATTTTGTGACAGGTAAACTGCCTTGAGGAGAAATCGTCTAAAAGTTCCAGGCCCTGATAAAAGTCAGCTGATCTCTGTATATAAATTTTTCGAACGGTATGCTATTGTTGTTTATCACTGGCCTTAGCATAGCTAAGATATATACAATCAATATTTTATATTCCCAAAGTAAGCAGTGCTGCCGCTACTCAAAAGAGCATTTGTTATTCCAGAAACCTATGTGAGAATGTGTGGTCATACACGCCACCGGTTATTTGATTCTCCCAACTAATGTTTACTATGATATTCAGGAAGCTTTTCCTTAAAAACTTTCGTTTGCTACTTTTATTTCATTGGTCATCATCAAGGTATGTGTTTCGTTGTTATTTTTTCACTTTCCCATATTTATTTACTTGCGAATTAAAGAAATTTTGAAAGTTCGGGTAAACGTTCTTAGACGATACAATGCACTAAATCTGTGCAGACGCGTTTACTTATTTGTATACATAAGCATATGATAAAGTGGATATTGCATTGCTTAAAAAGTCATTCAACATATATCGAAAATCCTCACAAATAGTGTACTAGTTTTATCAGTTGTATTTACCATTTCTCAGTTTAATAATAAGTATCAAACGGATTCGCCGTTTTACTTGATTCTCCTATGATATTTCGCTTTAAATAATGCTTTGATAATAGATGTCCATGGAATTAATTTATCTTCTTAGTCTTGATTCTAAGCTAAAAGATGCATTTTTAAAAAAGGCTATGTCGCTAGTATTAACTTCAAAAGTCATCTTAACTTATCTGATTCCTCGCATATATTGTTAAAAACGGTAAATTCAGGTCATTTAGTCAGTAGATGTTGTGCATTCTTTGTATGCCACAAACTTATATTTTTTGTACTTTTTCAAGACAGAACCTGCTAAGATCATGTTTTTAAATCACACTGAACTATACCTAACGTTCTCGGATTTAGATCAAACTGTATTAATTAGTAATATAATAAATTACTGAGTTGTATTCCTGCTCCTTCCCAGTACCACTAAAAAAGATTTTATTTCGCTACTTCATTATTAGGGCGGTAATGTTAGCGCACATTCCTGTCACTTGGTGGGTAGTGCACTTTCCGATCCATACCTTAGTTTTGCCGCATCTATGTGTGGCTTGGCTGGACCTTTGCATGGATTGGCCAACCAAGAAGTATTAGTCTTCTTGAATAAAATGCAAGAGAAAGTCGGCAAAAATCCAACAGACGAACAAGTTAAACAGTATGTAATGGATACGCTTAATGCCGGACAGGTTAGTTCTATCACTTTTATTAGTCCCCCTTTTGGTTTATCCGTATAACAGATTAACAGTCAAAAAATTCCTATATTTCAAATGCTCGGTTGATTCATTTTCCTATATGTATTTATCTTTGTCCCTTTTTCATATGTTTTAACGTAATTTCCACTTAGATCATCACAAGTGTACTGCCCATTTTAAATTGTAGTACTATGTACTGATTTTTGTGTCTAATAAAAGTAACCCGTACCGATTTCTTAACATTTCTACTTGAAGTGCTTGGGAAAACTTTTACAGTGGTGATAACTCGAAAGAGTTCTGATAGCTAATTGGTCTACATATGCTTGTTAAGCTGTCATATTTATACCTCAGAAGATGCGAGGGTTTTAGTTTACAAAGCTATTTCCGGATTGAGGCAGTATGAACAGTGAGAAAGTCGATATGAAATGTGATAGTATTCCACAAACTGGAATCTTTATAAGTAAGAAAGTGAGGTCTTAGGAAGTGTGGAAAAGTTTATTGGGAACAAAAATAGTCAATTGGTTTCTGAAAAATTGTCATTGTATATTCAGGTACTTGTGGGAAATGATATTTCTTTACTATTTACATTGTTAGGAATTATGTTTATCTTGAGGAACTTTATAGCAGTAGACTAGGATTAATGGTCCGATCGATGCGAGATTTATGGAACCTGATAATTTTGGCTTTTGTATAAAAGTGTAATTCACATCAACTTCACAGTAAATTGCATCTTTTACGTAACATGAGAGTCTAGATTTACTTGATTGGTAGGCAAATACTATTGAGCGTATTCCAGAAAATAACGCATAAATTAGCATTCATCTAGTATCAGTTAATCTTTAAAATTGTCGTTAAGTTCGTTTCATGGCTGTATTTGTAATTGAATATCAGGGTAATACTGCTACATTCTTGAGATTTAGACGTTTAATTTTAATCGATCTACATTAAATGCTAGTAATTTAGCTACCTATCGTGATGATTCCGATAGTTACAGTGATTTAAATTAATAAACAAAGCCATGCTCGTACGTTTGTGTTTTTTTGCGGCTTAAACATGTACTTCTGTTGTATATAGCATTTGACTTTTACATTCATTAGATTTTTTCTACTTAGTGATCTTGTCACGTCTGTTCTTTCAGGTCATTCCCGGCTATGGTCATGCTGTTCTTAGAAGAACGGACCCCAGATTTACTTGTGCACAAGAATTTTGTGAAAGGCATTTTCCAAATGATCCTCTGTACAAACTAGTTGCTCAATTGTATAATGTTGTTCCTCCAATCTTGACAAGTCTTGGCAAAGTTCAAAATCCATGGCCTAACGTGGATGCACATAGTGGTGTTTTGCTCCAGGTGAGGTCAATTTCTGTTTTTGTATTGAACATGTAAATTTCAAAATTCGTCCTTTTTTGTCACCAAATAGGTTGAGTTTCACTTTATTTTTCCAAGTGTTTCATTTATCTGGTGATTCATATCCTCTAGTTTACTTTTTACCTTGATGAAGTATGGAATTAATAAGACTGACAATTTCAAAAACGAAATTCATATCAAACCACTCTAGTTACTGATTTCTTGAGTTATATTCAGAGAAGTACTGAAAAAGAAGTGTTGCGACTGGTATTATCTCCAAAACAATCGTAATCTAATCCATTTTTATGAAAAAATTGCAGCTCTTCATATTCCTTAAAATAGTGGACAGTATGTTAGATGGTTGCTCTAAAGTCTTGTCGTTGGCCATGTTTATTTAAGGTTGTAGGTAGGTAGGTGCCAATCTTCACCATAAAATTATGAATTATAACTTTTTTATTCTACAAAAGTTAGATCTGATGTAAAGACCAACGTACCGCACTATTATTAATGTATCCTATTAATGTGTGAGACGATCTTGAGTGAGCTTTTATATCGGTGCAGTCTGTGAAGAAGCTGATGGGATTTATACCACTTTAATTTACATAGTTCTTGCATATATAACGAACGTGTCGTAAAAATAGCATTATTAATCTTAAATTGGTAATGTTATATATCACTTTAACGAATTATTGTTAGATTAATAATTAAGTCTCACAATTTCTCTAAAGCGACGAAGTATTTAGTCTTGGATTGGGTTAACATGTTCAGTCGTACAATACTTTATTGAATAGTATATTTCACATTTGCTCAACTGTTACGCCTGTGTAAATTACGTTTACAAATTTGCGTTTTAGTCTTCTCATCTTCTATATTGACTTGAATGATCTTAGAACATCGGTAATCACAGGTATCTGGTTAACCAGGATGTTGAAAATCATTTGGAAATTTTTTAATTTACTCCTATATTAGATCAGTTTCGTAAACAGCTACTGATAGAATACAATGGATCACTGTGTAACACCTATCCTTATACACAATCTTCCTTCTATATATTACTATCATTGAAGTAACTACTTCAATTAATTTGGTGTTCATCTTGTTGTGCTATTGAGGTATGGCAACTTGGACCGATGCATATATGTGCCTGGTTCTACGTTGTAGCTGACTGACTGATCTATCGATTAACATTCTCTCGATAATTTTAACAATTAAAATATATTCACAACGACATTATAAGACCTACTCATCCGCTATAGCTACTCAAGGTGATAAAGCCTAGTTTGTAGTTTAGTTTATGTTCATTAACTAATTGAATTCGAGATTTTTCCGGTTTTTTCAAATTGCAACATAATTTTCATAGTAACGAGTTTTTTTCATGAATACTTCAGAATTACTCATAATTATTGTGATTGTTTTTCAATTCTATTTTAGCATTATGGTCTTACTGAAATGCAATATTATACAGTTCTATTTGGAGTTTCTCGAGCATTAGGTGTTTTAGCCTCGTTAATTTGGGATAGAGCATTAGGCTTGCCAATTGAACGACCCAAATCTTTATCTACTGAAGCATTAATGAAATTGGTGAATGATATTGGACGTAAACAAGGTTAAATATAGTTTATTCAACTCGGATCCATATTTGTTCTTATTGGACATTTTCAGTAAGGTTATTTCTCCACTTTCTAATATTTTCCACTTCAAACTTAAGAACAAATCATCTTAATAGTTAGTCAAAACTACTTTTTTTTTGTTTTATTCTCCATTTATATCTTACTGCATAACACAATACATATGGTTAATTCTTTTAAGTAGAAAAGAACATTTTAACAACTTATTCAATTGTTTATGTTTTGTTTGTTTTATGTAATTGTAGAATTGACCTTTTAACCAGTTTTAGTATTCTTAAAAATGATGTATATTCATACAGGAAATATATATTCATCTAATGAAAATATCTCTTTTGCTCTTCCTTGTTGCATTATTTTCCCATTGTTTTTCAAAAAATCATATTCATGTGTCTAAGTATAGTTGTTTGTTTGTGCGTGTGTGTGTAACTGTGGAGGTGATTTTCTTAAAGGAAAAATTCATCATATAATTCACTACGAATCCCCAAACGCCCTGGTATGGCCGAGATCGGGGTGGGTTCGCCCTCCCTCTCGAAATACTCTCACACGGCCGCGCGTATACAGCCTCTGCCAGGGAAGTCCTACTCACTGCCTTCTCGTGGCGGGGGTGTTGTTTACGAAAATGAGAGGACGAAAAGCGAATGTCCGGCGCTTTAACCGGATTCCAAATCTATGGTGCACATGGGCACCAGTATCCTGCGGGAACAAATGGCGTATGAACCAATTTTCGGTCACTGGCTACCATGGGACTGCATCTCCTTACGATGCCCCACTGCCTTGTGGGTTAGACCTTTAGGTCAAAGGCTCGGGGTGTGGCCCCCTAAGATAACCACCTGCTTCGGTCTGGGCACCCGGGCAGTATCACAGCCCACACGCAATTAATGAACTGAAATTGTGTGGCGCATATATATTTGGCGCACTCCTGTACCAATATATATGTGTTCAAATAAAATAAAATAAATAATACTACGAATCCTTCCCTTTGGATTTTAAACTCAATGCAAGTGTAGACTGATATGAGTTGTAAGCCTACAACTTAATAATTGAAAAATAATGTATTTAATCATAATTAAGTTTTCAATGGAAAACTGTGAATTCGTTGAAATTGTATGATTTGAACAACTAGATTTCTTTTAATCCATACAACATTGTACTTCTAAGTCATTAGTATAAATGTTTGATATTGACGTATTACAATATTAAGTATTTATTATTATTATTTTATCTTATGAAACTAAATATCACATTTTACTTAATGGTTTTCTGTTACTGGATATAAGATTTATAGTTCATGTGCTTTCTGTCAATAGAGATATAAAACAGGTGAACGAATGAATTGAAGAACAAAATGAACGAGTATTGATTCTCATCATAATCATCTGTTAAACATTTAATTCATATCCAAGCAATTGTGAAAACCCGTAGATATTGATAGCACCCTTGTTCTGACTATTTAGTATTTAGAGTTTCATTCTTACCGGTGCTCAAAAACACATATTAATCGGAAATACAAAGTAAACTTTTGTAGAAAATGTTATTAGCAATAGTCGGAAAAAGTGTTAAAGACATTGGGATAACGTAGCTTTATACATACATACATACATACATTATTTGAACACAAACATTGGTACAAGGTGTCACTAAATACATGTACATCACACAATGACAATGAAGCCAATAGCAGTTATCATTGATTTGCCTGAGGGCTGTGATACTACTCGGGTACCCAAACCGAAGCAAGTGGTTTTCTTAGGTGGCCACTTCCCGAACTTTCGAGCTAAAAGTCTGATCCACAAGCAGTGGAGCAACATAAGGAGGTGCAGTCCCGTGGTAGCCGGTGCCCAGTAGTTGGTTCATATGCCATTTGTTCCCGCAGGATCCTGCAGCTCATGTGCACCATTGGTTTGGAGAATCAGGGATCTCCATCTTCCTTAGATGGATCCTCCGTGTCCACCAACCTGGTTAAAGTACCGGCCATTCGCTTGTCCTCAATTTCGTAAACGACAATAATGCCACGAGAAGGCAGTGAGTATAACTTCTCTAGCAGTGGCTGTATATGCGTAGTCATGTGAGAGTATTTGAAGAGGAAGATCGGACTATCTCTACTCCCGGCCGTACCAGGACATTTGGAACATATCGAAACACTCAGACAAGTTAAAGACTTAGTTTGAAACCGATTACTGAGGGATTGAATGACATTTTGGCTAAACTTTAATCCTTCACCATTGAGTTTTCGCCTGAATGGGACATTAGCTTGAGGTGCCTTACTCAATGGAATTCTATTTTATGTGTTATGTCACGGACCTAAGTTATCCAACGTTTATTCTTGTAGGTAGTGTCCAATTCAGTATTTTTCTGCAGTTTAAGGCATATGCTTCTAATAAATTTTATTTTAGGTAACAACTATTAAAGCTGTTGCTAGCGAGTGGTACAGGAGTAGGTTGGAAGAAAGCTAGGGGCGGCCAGACCAAAACATGGCACAAGTCCATGAAGTCACTGACAAGTGGACTGAGTCATGTTGGTAGGTGTAGACTACCTGGTTGGGGACTGCGAGATGATAGCAACCGATGATTGGAGATCCTGAATGACATGGCTCAAAATTGTTTGCAATGGCGCAGGTGCATACACTCTTTGTGTTCTTCCAAATTCTAATCTTCTGAATTCTTCATGTCCCTTTTTTCCACTTTCCAAATTTATTTCACTGGATTATACTCTTTAAATAACATCTACAAACCCTAATCTTTCCGACTACTGGTTATACTCTTACTACCTCTACCACTACGGGAGTTGAATCGACAACTGCATCTCTATGCTAATGTGGTATGGCAACTCGAACTGATGTACGTACGTACGAAGTTCTACGTTGTTACTGACTGACTGACTGTTGCTAGCGTTATATATTCGTCTTTTTCTAATTGGTTTACAGCTCACCTTCAACTTTACAGTGATCATTCACTTTAATGATAATTATATGATCATTTTAGTATGTTAAACTCGTACCGTTAATCGGCTATTGTAAAATCGTTTTCTGGATTAAAAGATTTTTTGTGTAGGAATGTTCAAATTGTACTACTATTTGCCAAGTCTGAGATCTGTATTTAACGACGCTTAGTTGAAAAAATTGACCAGATCTCTTACCCACCAGTACACACCAAGTATCTTTTATGAGTGATGTTTTTCTCTTTATCATGTGATATTTTAGCTGAATTTATTTTGCTTTTGAGTTTATAAGCTTTTCATAAAATCTTGTGAATTTTATGACCCCATGGTTTGCCCAGGCTTAGTTTTCTCTGCCTAATCACATGTATAGATTTTTCTTGTTTCAGTTTGTCAGAAAATTTTAAAGCTGTGAAAGACTGAATATTTAATGCATAATCTCATAAAGATTAAAATGATAGTGTTTTGCTTAGAGTACAGAATACTGTTGTGAGTTGAATTAAAATCACTTGCTTATGGTGTATTTTATTTCTCAGTGAAAGATAATACTTCAATTAGTAATCTCCAGTTGATCAGATGAGAAATATATTTAGAGAGAGAAAGAGAGAGACAGGAAGTAAAGAAACCTGTATAGTGTACTTTATGTTATAAATTCTATTTGTTACCGACAGAGAATGAATTCGATTCCGTTCTTTTTGATTTTTAAACTCACATACCTCATCGAATAACTAAAAAGGTTGTTTTTAGCAAGTTTACATATAGAGTGTGAATTATCTCTTTACTACAACGAGGAAATCGTCTTAGAGTAACTCCTAACAGTTACTCTTGATTAACTATTAACATTACATATTAATAAATTAGCTGATGTGAGTAGCTTTAGAAGCATCGGCGTTCTGCTAAACAAGTGATCGACAGTTTTTATGTTCCTCTTGGATGTCTTCTTGTTGACTTCTTATACAAATAATCTGTAAGTGCTAACTGAAACGTGTATACATTCGTAGAGCACCTCCAATTTATTTCATCAGAATTAGGTGAGACACTTTCGAATGTTTATTGAGCTAATTATTTTTCACTTTGTGACTGTGACGATTTCTAACTTTTCTATAGAGGTGATGTTGGAAATTCCATGCAATTGGTTTCCTTGGTAAAATTTTGTAAAGCAATAATACTGAACATTGTGGAATGAAGTAAAGTCACTTCATTTCATGTGCTGTAATTCATCCACATACGCGATGATTTGTATGAATAAATAGAAAGTTTTACAATTGTAATGTTATATGTAATATGAAATATTCAGGCATGTTCGTTAAGTGATGGATGTTTTAAGCATGAGCGAGAGAGTGAGAGAGAAAGTGGGATGGTGACATAACCGAGTTTAAGAATTGTGGATGACTTCGAGCACATTAAATAAAATCAATTTCCTTCCACAATGTTTGTTTTTTTTCGTTTGGAACCTATTGACTTTTCGTTTTTATTTTACGAGGAGAGTACATCTAAAGTCACATATAGATTTCATTGAATCTGATTAAATAATATTTGGTTAAAACAATATTGATACCGTTGTGATTATAATAATTTGCATTTTGTAGTGCGTTCGTCAGTGGAAAACTAAAATTTTCCCGGAATGAGTGACATACCAACGTTAGTTACATGAAATCTTATCATCCATTTTAACCTAACTATTTGGTGTTCAGATATAGTTCACAAATGTATATTTACACTAAGTCATACGAACTACTTTTGTTTTACAATATCAATCATTTTTTTATGTGCTAGTCACGTGTTTCGAAGAGTTTGTACATTGTCATATTTCCGTTTCTACCAGTGACCACATCTGATGTAATTTATGTTCTTAGTGCTAATCTATTTTAGTTAAATAAACATGATTTTTAAACAAAGTGTGGTGCGATCGATTTTAAATTGACCTTTTTTTCGGTTTGCCATTTTTTGGACAGTACAAAAATAGTGCAACTTTTAAAAAGGGTTAGGATGTATCCGTCAATTTGTAGCTCATATGTTTTTCAATGTTTAATGTATATGTGGTAGGATATATTTTCGGACATTTTTCTGTATAGTTAGCGAGTGAGAGTGCTGCCTATAAAAGTGTAATATTCACTGACGATTTTATTCCAAGCTCTAAATTTCACGTTTTCATCAGATGAATGGGTATACATACCAGTTATGTTCATAGGGAACATATGTGGATAGCCTAAGTTTGTTGCATTATAATTCTCAGTGGAAATTATGCTCTAATATGCAACACTCACTAAATAAACGTAAAAATCAGAAGGGGTTTTTATAGATATTATAGTAATTTCAATAGTTGAGATCATGATTCAATTGAATCTAGATCACGATGGAAAACCTGGAATCACTGGACGGTAGATGTGTCGCTCATTTTCGTGGGTTAGTTGAAGTTAGACATTAACACCGTTGGGTGCCGGCTCAGTAGTCTAGAGGTTAATCATTCGCTCGCGAGACCAATAGGTCCTGAGTTCAAATATGGCGAGTCGGGATCGTGGATGCGCACTGCTGAGAAGTCCCACAGTAGGACGAAACGACCATCTAGTGTTTCCAGGTTTACCATCGTGGTCTAGCTTCAATTGAATCATGATTTCAACCAGTGAAATTTCTAAAATCTCCACAAAATCCCTTCTGATAATAATCATCTGCTCATTAGTTACTAACTTCAAAAGATACTCCTGGAGTTCTAGTGAGAACCCGTTACCAGTGGAGTTCATTTATTTATTTTAATACATAGATATTGGTACAAGGAGGCACCACATACATATACGCCACACAAATCTCATTCTATATGTGTGAGGGCTATGATACTGCCCGAGTACCCAAACCGAAGCAGGTGGTTTTCTTAGGGGGCCACTCCCCGAGCCTTCCGCCTGAAGGTCTAATCCACAAGGCAGTGGAACATCGTAAGGAGATGCAGTCCTATGGTAGCCGGTGACCAACGATTGGTTCATACGCCATTTGTTCCCTCAGGATACTGGAGCCCATGTGCACCATAGATTTGGTTCGGAATCCGGTTAAAGCGCCGGATATTCGCTTTTCGTCCTCTCAATTTCGTAAAAACACCCTCGCCACGAAAAGGCAGTGAGTAGGACTTCCCTGGCAGAGGCTATATACGTGTGGCCATGTGAGAGCATTTCGAGAGGGAGAGCGGACTCTCCCCACTCTCAGCCGTACCAGGGCATTCGGGGGCACCAGTGAAGTTCAACCAGGTTTGTTATGAAATATCAACTCACTGAAGGCAATGGTGTACGGTGGCGCAACTTCGTGGATTGGTGGAAGTTAGACATTAACACCGTTGGATGCCGGCTCAGTTGTCTAGGTTAAGCGCCTGGCGCGAGGCTCATAGGTCCTGGGTTCGAATCTCGCGGGTTGCGGGGTCGTGGATGTGCACTGCTGAGGAGTCCCACAGTAGGACGAAACGACCATCCAGTGTTTCCAGGTTTACCATCGTGATCTAGCTGTCCGGTGCTTTCAGGTTTTCCACGGTAGTCTAGCTACAATTGTCATGATTTCAACCAGTGAAATTTCTAAAACCTCCACAAAACCCCTTCTGATAATCCAGTACTTAGTCAAAAATTAATCTCCGATTCTTTTATCACTGATCAGTTTATTTTGCATTTAACCAATGCAAAGGTTTAGTCTCCTATCTGTAAATAAGTCCAAATTCATTCTCATTTATTTTGAATAGAAGCGGAGTAAGTACTTTGATGGTTTGGGAACTTGGTTTGTAGTTATTGAGCTGTGAATTCAAACTCACATTAATGTGGTCTAAATAATTAGGAATTATCACCAATCATCGTACAAAATATGTAACTTAAAGTCGACTTTACGGGGTTTTACTTAAAAGAGAGTTTCCCTGATTATCGTAACGCTGTAAATAACATCTTGAAAAGCAGGCTTGACAAGTCACAGTTTTTAGGCGTAGTTTGTTTTATTTTTTTTGCACATGACTTGTGATGAGTGAAACCCTTCTACTCAAATTATGTTTTAGTCATTTGTATCCTAATTTCTTTTTTTGGGGGTGCATTTAGTTACGTGAAGATTCTTCAGATCAAGAGGATTTTCTCAACCGAATTGCATGCGGTGAAGAACATGTTTTTAATGAAGCATATGATACTGAATTCTCACCGGCATTTAATTCAAACAATACTAATCAATCAGTTTTTGATATTAGTAATGCTATAAAAGCTCGTCAACTTGGTATAGTACATGGTGTAAAATTGGCTTCAGAATTCGGTTTCTGTTATGGAATGGTTTTGGAAATTATCACTTCTAGGTAAACTCTCTTTTCTTTATTATTTAATATAACTTGCAAATGTAAGCTAATCCACTTGGGTTTTAGCCTGATTGTTTATAAAGATTAGCAACTCCACTATAACTAACTTCCCAAACTAAATTATGTATTAGAATCAACATAAAACCTGGGATAAATTTGCCCTAGGCCAACTAATCATATTGCATTACCACGGCGAGATGAAATAAATTAGGTGAATAGTATAGGAGTAGAAACTTTAAAGAGAAGACTAAACATTGATAACATGGTTGGAGATGAAAATATGAAAAGCTGTGTATGAAGTATAATACCGGATCTGAAGATCTAGACGATGATAAAGGGTAAATGCATCTGTGCTATTGCGACCGGTTCTAAGTCACGTCACTCCGTGTCTACAAACAGTGATCATGGTTATACTGCAGACCTCAACCAGGTAGTTCATGTCTATCAACATAGTTCACTCCAACGGTGAATGTCTTCATGGAATGATGTCATCTCTTGATCTTGTCGTCCTTAGCTTTTTCCAACCTATTTCTACGTGAGCGAACACCGTTAAGGTGGGGGATTGTGAATATAACATGTGTTCCAACCATTTCAGTAAATAAAAGTTCACAACCTCACCAACTGATATTTCGTGTGACGACGGACCACGGGTGAACTCGAGGAAGCTGTAAGAGGCGAAGATATTCCATCCAATCACCTTTTGGGAGAATATTCTAGAGTTCCTACGTGTAGCTTCCTGATTGGACAATGCTTATAACCCCCTGTATGCGGATTGGATGACTGTAATGATGGTTTCGTTCTTACTAAAAACTATAAATACCTGACAATTTTGTGCTATAATTGACGCTGTCTGGGAACAATATTCTTTTATTAGTCTTCTGTCTTCTCATTGCGACTTGGAAGGGTTCTGGCGTCCTAATGCTCATGTTATACGCGGTATATCAAGAACAACCTTCTAGATATAACATATCGTTTTTGCTTAGCACCTTATATCTAATCTCAGCACTGCTTAATTGGTCGTTCTACGATATGCAACAAATGCATCAAAGACACCTTCGATAAAAGATTTACGACAAATTGGTGTTTGACTTTTATAGAACATCAGTTGAATCACAGCTTTAACTTCCGGACTTATAGATTAAAGGCCAGGTGATTTTTTAACCCAACTAATCTTCAGTTCCACTTTTGCTAAACAATGTCTGAAATTTTATGAAATTGGAATTCTTATTCACTGTCCGAAAATTCATAAGAGAAGAATAGAGATCAGGTGTGTTATTCGACAACAGATGCTTAAAGGACTGTTCATCATAAACTGTGATGTTTAATAATGATAATAATAATAATAAACTGCTTCTTCACTAGTAATTAGTTTTGTTATGGTTTACTAAGGAGTTCGCTGAAAACTTATCAACTTCAGGATACTTCAAAATACCCTCAATTTATTGCAACACATTTGTTCTATATCCGTTTACGTTGTTCAAGAAATCTCTGCAAGTTCTCAGAAGTTTAAGCTCTTCAGGCATTTTGTTTTCAGTCACCTTGACTTTCCACTTTTGTTTTCAGTATTTCCGAGCTTAACTGAGACGGTTGATTTTCTTCAAACAATATGCTTTTTCGTAACCAATGGTTGGAGTCTCTTGGTGACATGGCTCAGAATCGATCACAATGGCGTAGGTGTATACACTCTCTGTCTTCCCTTAAACTAAGAGATTAAAATTGCTTCATATCTTTCTTTCTACTAACTAATTGTTTCTTCCTATACTATATCCTTATATGCAATCCTTCTCCTATAGATTACCACCTTTGACCTAACCACGCCTATGAATCCGGTGTTCATCTTGCTGTGCTAATGCGATATGGCAACCTGGACCGATGCACATATGTGCCTGGTCCTACGTTGTAGCTGACTGACTGACTGAAATAGCTCTTACCATTTCATGAATTTCCTTAAATTTCTTCCCAAGTTCCATCTAAAAATCGATTCCATACCTTTGTCCTATCTATATGTCTATCTTCATTGTTTGTAGAAGTAAAAAGCACTACCACCATGCCTACTTTAAACATTCTCAAAACACGTGTCTTTGTAAAATATCAGAAATCCAATTAATTATGTGTTCATAACTATAGCGGCCTTATTTAATCACATAAAAGTTGATGCCAAGGGGAACTATATATATATATATATATATATATATATATATATATATATACGCCACAAAAATCTTTGGATTTGTATGGACTAGGATAGTGTCCGGTTGCTCAAACTGAAGGTGGGTTTTTTAGAGGGACACTCCTATTTTTTGTCCCGGAGGTCTAATTCACAAGAAAGAAGATTCAATCCCATGGTAGCTGGTGACTAAGAAAAATTTCACACGCTACTTGAGACTTTAAAATCCTGGAGCTCATTTGCACCATTGGTTTAAAATCATGGTTTTTCAACCGTAAGTCCACCGTGGCAGCCAAGCCGGTTAAGACATCATATATTCGCTTTTCATCCTCTGAATTTCGTAAACGACACCGCGTGGTGCGAGAAGGCAGTGAGTAGTACTTCTCTGTCAGTGGTTGTATGTGAGAGACCATTTGGAGCGAGAGAGCATACTCTCCTCACTCTCCATTGTATCACGGTATTTGGATTGCATAATAACTTTCAATTCAGATATATGTTAAACAGATCCCTTTCAGAATTTAATTATATAATTTAATAATAATTTTTATATTTTATTTTCTTCTACCAGACAACAGCTTCCATATTCCAATGACATCCCCAATGATCATAGTAACAACAATAATAATAATAATAATCTCAATCTAACTAATAATACTAATTCGAATACTCAATTACAATTAGATAAAATGAAAAAAAATCATCAAATTTATAAAATAGCACAACATTTATATCAATATTTAATTGAATCACCAGGTCTAATTCAATTATCTAATTATCCACAATTGAATAAATCTATTCATTATATAATTGACGATGATGACAATAATAATAATGAAATATTGAAATATTTAAGAAATAAAATGAAACAATTAAAAAGTTTATTAGATATACATTCAATTGAAGAGAAAATGAATAATTATCTAACTTTTTAGGAAGTTCACCATCTCCTCCCACCACCACTATTATTACCATTGTAGTGAAGGAGAACACAGGTAAGGATAACCGAATTATTATTTAGCACATAATTACAGAGTTACTTGGTAAAATAAAAAAATCATACTACAATACGTAACTTGTAAAAATGTTCAATAATTGTCTCAAACTTCATTGTTTTTGCATTTTTTTTATAGTAATCGCTTTCTATTCCCGTTCTTCCTTTCTTGATCTTCCCCATCTTCTGCTGCCAGACATTACATTCCTGACTCGCGTCCTATACTACTTATATCAATATAAGTAGCACACACCATAGTACTACCACCCCCACCCGTTTTTTTATTTCGCTCTTTTTTTTCTTTTGTTTTATATTTGTAAATATGATGTATATTATATTATTTTATTAAAAGAAATTTGTATCCAAAATAAATACTAAAGATGAAAATTAGCAGTTAATGTTTAGATTATAATAATACATAAATTGGATAATGACTAACAATGGAATCTAAGATGCGTGTTTTGTCCTATTTGAAAATCGTTAGTTAGGTGTATTTGTATCTGAGTTGATGTTCTCTTTCGGACTCGTACCCAGTATCGTTCACTTCAAACGTTATCTATTTGGTTAGAGAGTTCAGCCTCTAAATGCTTTGGTTACAGCTGAGTGTGGAGTGAGTTAGCTCTCCATCTCGAAATGCTCTCACATAAACACGTGTATACAGCTACTGCCAAGGAAGTTCTGCTCATTGCTTTCTCGTGGTGGGGTGTTGTTTGTGAAATTGAGAGGACGAGTAGAGAATCTCCGGCACTTTAACCCGGTTGGTGAACACCGAGAATTTACCTAGGGGAGTTGGAAAACCCTGATTCTCCAAACCAAATGGTACACATGGGCTCCAGGATCCTGAAGCAATAAATTGCGTGTGAACAATTTATTGGTCACTGGCCACCATCGGACTGCATTTCCTAACGTTACTCTACTACCTTATGAATTAGACCTTCAGGTCGATAGCTCCAGGTGTGACCACCAATGAAAACCACCTGTTTCGGTTTGGGTACTCGGGCAGTATCACGGCCCACATCCAAATCAAGTAACTTGTGTAGCGCATAGGTTTTCGGTGCCCCTTTGTACCAATATTTATGTGTTCAAATAAATAAGTAAATTAAAATGAGTCCAGATGGCCACATCAACTCTGGTATACAAGTACATCTTGCTGACGAGTCTCAAATAGGACGAAATGCGTGTTCTGGATTCCACTGCTAGCCACCATCCATCTTTTCTCACAATGCTTGTGCTGCACAAGATGAACATATGCCAATGAGTGACTGATCCATTTCTGTCTTAAACATCAATGGGGAGATTCAAACAACCAATACAAAAACGAAATAATTCCGAAATGTTTTCCCCATTATATTACATAATCACTTATATACATTGAATTTGTTTGAATTTATTTCTTTTTTTAATTTCTCGTTTAATGAATAGTAAAATTTTCTTCTAACTGAACATAACTATATCAATAGCCTATTTTGTACAATGATAATTGTTTGAAAGAATATATCGCTGAGGCTATTGACTATTTGTGTATTTCATCGACAGCTATCCAGCACAACTAAACAGAATGTTTTTAAAAATATTATGAATTGAAATTGTTAAGTGAAAAGTCTTGGTTTAAGATATGAGGGGGGGGGTATATTAAGGCATTATCTGTAATATTTCAAGTAAGCTGATGAGTGAATGTATATACATCATTGTGATTAATTTCGACTTATGTTGTTTAACAGCCTGTCCAACCAATAATTATTTGTTACCATTAAGGCCACTTTAAGAAATGGGATTATCCCCAATATGTGACCTACGAACGAAAACTGTCCTCACCAGGTATTCAGCGGTATAGTTGTCTAACTTCAACCCATCCACAATATTGCGCGTCGGTCTTGGTTGAAACTAGACAATAACACTGTTAGATTACCGGCTTAGTGGTCTAGGATTTCAGTGTTCACGAGAGACCGAAGGTGCTTGGTCAGAGTCCCGCATGTGAGACCATGCGTGCGCATTTTCACGGAGTCCCATACTAAGACGAAACGGCTACCTAGTGTTTCCAGCTTTTCAATAGTCGTCAAGAATTGGTGGGATCACAATCTTAGTGACAAATATACTTTGTGTTTATGGCGATAAAATATGATTTAAATATAACTAATATTTTGAAATAATAATAATGAACACACATGCTTTGATTTAATGAGTAGAGTTTTTGTGTTGTATATACCGTGTTTACTGAATTCCATGGTTTATTTTAATGATAGTATATCAAATATGAATAATTATTGACCACAAGTGTATAGACTACAGTTTACCTGCAATGTTTATTTATGTTAAAATGACGGATCCCAGCAGTTAAATATACGTGTATAGACAAACACATTGACTTTTTAAGTTGAATGTCTTATAATCCGAAATTATTTAGCGCAGATCATTTTGATGACTATAGGAAATATATCTCATCACACAAGTTAACCACCAGGGTCGCATTACGTCTAATTAGATCGATTTTTCGCACTAAGGATTACCGTAAGTTTGGAAAGTGTGGGACAGTATGTACTGACACAGTAACTGAGTGATATTCTGTTTGCTTTTTGTCACTTGTAATAAAACAAACGAGTGATTATTGTTCCTATTATATGGGTGAGAAACGCCACCAGATGAACTCTCGTTTTACGTGTTAAAAATAATCGGATACTTAGTTATGTACTATAAGAGTGATCCAGATCTGAATGGAAATCTCACACTAGTAAGAATATCAAATAACACCGAATATTAAATGCATTGATTGAACTATGAAGAGTAGTTTTGATTTTCTTCATCATACATTGAATTTAACTGGACAACCAATAGAAATCAGGAAGTACCAGACGGCTGTTTCATTTTAGTATGAGGATCTTAAGTAGCGATCATTCACGACACCACGTGAAGATGAACCCATAACCTTTAGATTATGGCAAGTTCTTAACATTAAAAATCCTGAGTTATCGTTCAGTAGTTTATATTTCTAACCCTTGATTTTTTGAAAACCAAAAGTTATAATTAGATGGAAAGCAAAGGATTTATACAACCAAACAATTTATTTATTTATTTGAACACATAAATATTGATACGAAGGGGCAGTGTATATATATGCACCACACAAGTTACTTGATTTGTGTGTATGCCATGGTACTGCCCGAGTGCCCAGACTGAAGCACGTAGTTTTCATAGGGTGCCACACCCGGAGCCATCGACCTAAAATTCTAGTCCACAAGGTAGCGGAGTAACTTTAGGAAATGCAGTCCGATGGTATTCAGTGACCAGTAATTGGTTCATACGCCATTTATCCCTTCAGGTTCCTGGAGCCCATGTGTACCATTTGGTTTGGAGAATCAGGGTTTTCCAACTCCCCTAGGTAAATTCTCCGTGTCCACCAACTAGGTTAAAGTGCCGGACATTTTCTACTCGTCCTCTTAATTTCGTAAACAACACCATCTGCTGCGAGAAGGCAATGATTAAAACTTCCCTGGTAGTGGCTGTACACGCGTGGCCATGTGAGAGCATTTGCACAGGGAGAGCTGACTATCTCTACTCTTGGCCGCATTTGGGGGCACATATTTCTTATAAATATTTATTTCAAAATTATTGTTCTATTTTGTAGCCCATCTTAATGTGCATATATTATACAACTTATAACCTACATAATCTGTTTTGTTTATTTTGCCAACATTATATTTGTTGTGACTTGAACTTGGATCGATTTTTACCCCGTGCCAATCGTTGTATCCTTGACTGAAAGATTAGAGAGCAGTGTATTATCAATTGGACCAAAGACGCGTATAACACGTAAGAACGACCTAGAATTCTGATTGGCCCTGCACCCCTGTCTAGCCCAGCCAGTTGAGTCCAGAACGCAAGTCTTAGCCTCTGAGCTATGAATCATTGTATTTCAAGCATACTCTGTTTATATACCAATCAACCCGACCACAACGAACCAATAAAATAGAAAAGAACATTTGTACAATAATTAGCCAGAAGTGGCTGTGAATGAGGGAGGTAGCGATTAACAGATAGGGAATAATTCATGAATGGTAAATCGTACAATAGTAGTTCATAGGTCAACATAAAGCTCATAATAAGAGGGGTATGAATATGAACAGTTTAGTTGCATAACAATTATACGATAAAAATATACACCTAGTATTGATCCATAATTGGATCCCAAAAATTACCATTCATTATTCTTATCGGAACACAACAATATTAAAGTTCATTATCACCATACAATTGTTTATTATTAATTGTCATTTCAGTTAAGATTATTGGATTTTTTTTCTCGTAATAATTAAAATGATTATTAAAATCAGTTTATGTACTGTTAGTGATATTGAAATGTCATTTGTTAATAGACTATAATAAATGAATCTATTAACAATATTGTACTTTATAGATCAAATGAATTAATTTAATTTCTAATTACTTTCGGTTATAATCTGTTGATTTAATCATAAATAAATTATTAGTTACTAGATGTATGGGTAAAGTTTATTATAGTTAGCGTTTTTTTTGGCAAGATTGGTTTCTACGGGAGTCAGTCAGTCAGTAACAACGTTGAACTTCGTACGTACGTACATCAGATCGAGTTGCCATACCACATTAACACAGAGATGCAGTTGTCAATTCAAATCCCGTAATGGTAGAGGTAGTAAGAGTATAAGCAGTAATAGGAAAGATTAGGATTTGGAGATGTTATTCAAGGATTATAATCCAGTGAAATAAATTTGGGAAGAGAAAAAAAAATAGACGAGGAGGAATCAGGAGATTAGAATTTGGAAGAACACAAAGTGTATGCACCTGGGTCATTGCAAACGATTTTGAGCCATGTCATTCAGGGTCTCTAACTATTGGTTGTTATCATCTCGTGGTCCCCAACCAGGTAGTCTACACCTACCAACATGACTCAGTCCACTTGTCAGTGACTTCATGGACTTGTGCCATGTTTTGGTCTGGCCGCCCCTAGCTTTCTTCCAACCTACTCCTATACCACTGAACATAGCACGTCGAGGAAGTCGGTAGTTGGGCATACGTAACACATGTCCCAGCCATCTCAACTGATGAAGTTTCACTACTTCATCAATCGATTTGCTATCATTACCTAGTACCAGTTTCCTAACAACTGTGCTACTTACTCGATGGTCCCAGGATATACGAGCAATATTTCGAAGACACCTATGATCGAACACTGGTAACCTTCGAATATCCTCTACCCTTACCGGCCATGTTTCACTGTCATAAAGTGGGACGGAACGAACTGTTGCACAGTGAACACGTCATTTGGTTTATAGACGGATATCGCAGGATGGGGTTGGTGACCCCATGCCCAACTCTCCTCCTTTACCCGGGCTCGGGATTGGCAATAATCTTAGAAGGGCTACAGGCGGAGTTGATAAGTTAAATTACCGACGAATTACTTCACGTCATTGTAATATGAATAGATAAATTGAGTAGAAATAGTTTGTGATCTCTGATTGAACGCAAAGATGTGTGTATGTGAAAAATACACGGCAAGAAAGAAGAATGTAAGCAAATATAGTACAACTACCTAGTTAATCACCATCAATATAGTACAATAGTGAAAATAAATCAATCTGGCAAATGAAATTGAAATTACAAATGTTTTGGATCTTTTGTCTTTAATTTCCATTATCTTACAAAATAGTATACCTTATTCGACACTATGGAGTATCTGAGAAGATTGTTAACACCATACAAAACTCATGCAGCGGACTACACTCGAAAGACGTTCATGGAGGATGGCTGGCAGATGCATAATCGAGTCGATTAACAAATCTAACCTCTGTATACAGAAAAAAAATTATGAAGACTCTGAATTTATCTTAGCCTACTACTTAGATGAAGACACTGGAAGTGGATAAGACATGCATTATGGAAATAGTCAAACTGCATCGTGAGACGAGCACTAACTTGAAATCTTGGAGGGAAACGAAAAAAGGAAGGTCAAGGAACATACTCTGTCAGGGATTGGAAGCAAACATTAAAATGATGAATAGCTGCTGGAAAGGATTGTTTAGGACAGAGTACGATAGAGAATGCTAGTGAGAGGCTTGTGCTCCTCCACGAGAGGTAACAGGTGTAAGTAAATAATTCCTACCTAGATACTATTTTCTTTATTTCAAAAATTTTCTTGTTTCTTTTTCTTTTAGCAATTTTCAAACTTTGATTTTCATCACCTTTTTAATTCCTACTTTCAATCTAACGTAACCTCTTTGACTCACCACCATCTATTTGCTGTCAACTTTGTAATCAGTTATAAAACTTATACATTACTAGTGTAGAACCCTGATGAAGAATTCATTGAAAGGAAATATTTCCACACTTAACTTACATTTTCCATTGAAATCATGAACCGATTGATGTTAGACCAGGATTGAAAACCTGGAAGCACTGGACGACCGTTTCGTCCACTTGTGGAACTCAACAGTGCTCATCCACGATCCTGTGCCAAAGGGGTTTGAACCCAGAGCCTTTAATCTCGCGCGCGAACGCTTAACCTCTAAACCACTGACCTGGTCGGCATCCAACGGTGTGAAGAAGTAGTTTATCCTATTAACCTGGAGTTTAATTGGTTGTTGTCCATTATTATAGTTGTTTACATATTTGTTTTAATTGTATTCTTCACTAACCCAATCTCTGATTTTGGAGATGTTTATTGTTTTTTTTCTATTAGCTGATGGTTGAACTGGATTTCTATATTTTTATTGATTAACACATGACCGGGTATTCTTTAGGATTCTTTATATTGTCTTTAGGGTCTATGTTTATTGACTACACAATTGGTTTATCCTACCGAAGTCTTTGTTTATTACATTATAATTTAAGTTTATTTTAGTAATTTCAACCATCCAGTTGTGCCATCAATTCGATATATTAGTTATATCATTTATACTTC